GCAGAAAGAAAAGAAAATGGGGCTGTCAAGGATCTTATAGGGCAGATGGGAAGTTGTCTGGTTGTATGAGACTCAACCAGCCAAATTGTACTTTTAGGTAGAGCAATGCATGAAGATGTTCTAGTACTCTTACTAAGAACAGCTCACATTTATAGAATACTTTCAGATTTGCAAAGCACTTGGAGCCTCCCAACAGTCTTGTGGGGGTAGGTGTTGCTGCTATCCCCATTTTGCAGATAAGTGGCTTCCCCAGAGTCACACAGCTGCTTAGTGACTGAATCAAAATTTAAACTCAGGTCTTCTTGACTTCAAGTCTAAACACTCTCTCCACCATATCATACTGACAATACTGAAGAGGATGGAGGGAGAGAGAGGGAAAGAATAAGCATTTATATAGCACCCACTATGTGCTGAACATTGCACTAGGTAATTTACAATGGTATGGGTGATGCCAAGCATCCAAACTCTACTTCACAGAGCACAACTCCAATGGGCTGGCCATGTTGTTCGACTGCAAAACATACACTTGCCAAAAAGACTATTTTAGGAATAACTCACACAGGGCAAGTGTTCACACAGTGGTCAGAAGAAGCAATACAGTGACACTCTCAAGGTCTCCCGAGAACTTTGGAACTGATTATGTGACATGGGAGACATTGGCACAAGGCCGCTTAGCATGGCGTGCCCATATCAGAGAAGATGCTATGCTGTATGAGCAAAGCAGAATTGAAGTAACTTAAGAGAAATGCAAGATGTACAAATTTAGAGAATCCATCCCAAATGTTCACAGGGGCTATTTGTGCCCAACCTGTGGTGGAGCATTCTGAGCTCATACTGTCCTGATCAGCCCCAGTCTGATGCACTGTAACTTGACTCTAGCATGGTGATGTCATTTAGGTGCTCTTCAAGTACGAGGGGCAACAGCTAACCAAGCAATTTACAAATATTTTCTCATTTGATCCTCACAACAACCCTATAAGGAAGATGCTGTTATTATCCCTATTTTACAAATGAGGAAACTGAGGCAAACAGAAATTAATCGACTTGACCAGGGTCACACAGTTAGTAAGTGCCTGAGGCTAGATGTGAACTCAGGTCTTCCTGACTGTAGAACAAGCCCTCTAGTCACTGTGCAACCTAGCTGCCTTGCATAGAAGATGGTGTAGAATCATGATGGGAGTCCTCATTCTCTAATCTTGATGTAATGACACAGAAACATCATTATAATAATCACCACCATCTCACCTTGGGCCAAGAAGAGGGATTTAAGGGAAGCAGGGGACTCCTAAGAGGAGATGCCCATCTTCATCTTTTAAACCAAGGGACTTGATCTTTCTGTTACATGTGACATAATTGACTCAAGTCTTAGAAATTCACAGTTCAAACTGTAGCTCTTCAGATATCTGGGATCTTCACACTCCCCATCTCTGGAAGAGTTACTCACTGCACTGGGCCAGAGAGTAAGGCATGGGTCACCATGCAGACTCTTAAATTTTGAGTATCCACAAAAATACTGGTCGATAATCAAGGAAAAATGTTTGACCCATTCAATTTTATTAAAGGAGAAAAAATAAACCAACCCATTACAGATTGTCATTTTATCTTCTAAATGACTAAAAGATGTCAACTACTTGGGGATATGAGCTGTCACCTGGCACAATGCACACAGGAGCCTCATAAGAAATCAGGATTCTGAATCCCAGGGCTAGAAATGCTGGCCCTAGGCTAGGCATGCATTTAAACAGGTCTGGAAATGCTCTTAGGAGAAGTGAGGTGGTACAACTCTATAGATCCTTTTTCATTCACTCCAGGCCAGCACAGTCTGCTATTTCTCACTTCAGCAGGGTCTCCTTCTACATCAAAGGGCAACAAGTAACACTGTACAGCTTAATCCATTTATCGTGTATTCTCTGGCTAGTGTGTATCATATAAGCACATAAAAACTAGGAAAATACCAGGTAAGATTTTCATTGAATAAAGAAGAGACTTTGAAGTTATTTAGGGTTTAAGATTCTTTATTGGGCAGGACTTCCTGATTCAGTGGGGAGTGCAGATCTCATGAATACTCCATTTATCTCTTTCCAACTTGCTAATAGCAAACTCATGAAAGAAGACAGTAGGCTGTCATTTCTTATAGCACCCCAGGCCACATCATCCATTTGTGATCAGTGCTGGAGATTGACCAGCCTTCCTATCAGCTTTCAAATCATAGGACATTTAAATTCATTTTTACCAAGTGAGATTTTTCTGAGGCATTATGAAGTCAGAACCACTGTCATCCTTTCAAATCTTAATTAGCAATTAATTAACTTGAGGTACTAGTGCCTCAACTGTCTGACAGACAGGCTTATAATTATCTTTTATTATTATTACTAATAGAAAATATGGTCAGGATGGCTCAGGTTTTCCCGAATACGGGCTTTAATTGAATGACCCAATAGAGAATCAAAATGAACAGGTTGCCCTTTCTCCACAGTTTTATTAAAAATATTTTGAAATCTGATGGTGTCTTATACCCAGGAGCTCAATACACATAGAAAGGTTCAGATCGAAAGCAAAAAGTAAGCCTGTTCTCTAGAACTGTGACCTTTAGCGAGCTGCAGAGTCTGAAGAGTGCTAGGCTATCATCTTGAGAAGCAGGTGCCTCAGGGAAAACATGTAGTCCTCTATGGAAGGTTTAAAGGCTAGTCTTTAATGGTACCCTCCTTTATTACTTTATTACTCCCCCTTGTGGAGGGGCCAAGCCAGGCTCCATTGCCCTCCTCCACTGCCCTATTTCCGCTTTCTAGACTTTAAAACCATGCCTTCACTGCTGCTTCATCCTTTTTCTTCCCTCTGACTCTGGGGTTGCCTTGCCCTGAAGTTTCAATCATCCAAGCAGCCTTCTCACTTTGGAATATCCCTCTGCAAGGTTCACCCTTTTATCCCCTTGGTGATATCATTTCATGCAGGAGCCAAAGCCAGCCTTTATTCCTCACTTTTCTGTTTACCTCCTTTGTGTGTGTGTTGTTTTTCATAAGCTGAACTCCTTGGAGGAAGGATTGTCTTTGTTTGCTTGTATTTCTATTACCAATTATATTCCCTAGCACTTACCATAGTGTCTGAAACATAGCAAGCATTTAATAAATATTTATTTCTCTCTGAGGTGCCAATTCTTACCTATCTGACTGGCAAAGTTGACAAAGGAAGAAAATAACAAATGCTGGAGTGACTGTGGGCTAACAGGCACTTCAGTGCACTGTTCGTGGAAATCTGAGCTGGCTCAGTCATTCTGGAAAGGAATTTGGAGCTATGCCCACCACACTATTAAACTGCATGTATCTTTCAATCTAATGATAATGCTACCAGGTCTATACCCCCCAAAGATCAAAGAACAAGGAAAATATTTATAATAATGCTTTTTGTGGTGGCAAAAATTGAAAACTGAGAGGGTGCCCATCAATTAGGGAATGACTAAACAAGTTATGGTATATGAATGTGATAGAATACTATTGTTCTGTAGGAAATGAAGGGCCTAGATTCAGAGAATCTTGGGAAATCTTGAATTAAAATAAAGTGAGAAAAACCAGGAGAACATTTTAATGCTAACAGCAATATCATAAAGAAAAACAACTTGGAAAGTATTAGGAACTTGGATCAACACAATGACCAACTACAATTCCAGAGAACTTGTGACAAAACGTGTTACAACGCAGAATGCAGATTGAGATGTTATTTTTTTTTAACATGGGCAAAGTAGAAATTTGTTTTGTCTGACCACATGTGTTTGTAGGGGCAGATAGGTGGTGCGGTGAATAGAGTGGCAGATACGGCATCAGGGAAACTCATCGTCCTGAGTTCTAATCTGGCCTCAGACATTTACTAGCTGGGTAACCCTGAGCAAGTCACTTAACCCTGTTTGCCTCAGTTTCCTTATCTGTAAAATGAGCTGGAAAAGAAAATAATAAATCACCCCAGTATCTTTAAAAAAAACCACAACAAATGAGGTCACAAAGAGTTGGACAGTACTGAAAAAATGAATAAACAACAAACAGTAACAGAATGTGTTTGTAACAGGTTTTGTTTTTCTTGCTTTTTCAGTGGAATTGGGGGGTAGGCTTGAAGGGCAGAGGATAAGGTAGGAAAAAAAGGTTATGGACCTGAAAATAAAATTAAATTAAAATTTGAAAATGTTTCTTTCCTTTCTTTCTTCCTTTCCTTCCTTCCTTCCTCCCTTCTTTCTTTCCCTCTGTCCTTTATCATAGAAACCTCTTATTTTGGAGAACATAAAAGAACTATGCCATACAACTTTATTGGGAAAAAGGGAAAGGAAATCCCTTGTTTGGATTGCCATACTGATGTCAGGTCATTTGTCATTGAGGGATATGGCCTAAGACAGAGATGTCAAACATACATAGGCAGCCAGGGTGTGTGACCTGAACCAAATTAAAATGTAATTGGAAAATATTTAACAAAACAAATAAAAATACAATAGAGCATGAGCAATGTTAAAATATCTTTTCCTGTCAGTATGCAGCCCCCAGGGACACTCAGGTATTGTTTAGTGGGCCTGTTTCCATTTGAGTTAGACACCACTGGTCTGAGAGTATGAATGACCCAGTGAAAATCTATTTCCTCTACTTGGGGAAAATAAACAACTAGCTGGAGGGTACTTAGTAGTAGTAATAGTCATTTCACCTTTGTGTTTTTTGAATTCAATAAACATTTTTATTAAACAAGAAATGAGGGCAGCTAGGTGGTTCAGTGGGTAAAGCATTTGGCCTGAAGTCAGGAAGACTCATCTTCCTCAGTCCAAATCTGGCCTCAGATACTTACTAGTTGTGTGATTCTGGCCAAATCACTTAACCCTGTTTGTCTCAGTTTCTTCATCTATAAAATGAGCTGGAGAAGGAAATGGCAAACCACTTCAGTATCTTTGTGAAAAAAAAATCCAAATGGGGTCATGAAGAGCTGGACATAACTGATCAACTAAGTGACAACAGAGTAAATTCCTTTGTTACCTGTTGAATGATCTATGAATGTCTCCTTTTATTCCAGTGTTGAAGAGTCAGACATGACTAAAATGATTGAACACCAAGAAGCAGGAAATGGGAGAGATGATGCTAAAAATCACAGTTCTGCACCATCTGTGTATTTTAACTTGGTTGTTGATACTCTAAATGGGGCTTCTTATCCAATGATCATTCTTGCTATAAATGAGATGAGAAGAAACAAGGTTTTTGTACTACATCCAAAGGCAACAAAAAATATTATTTCATGGGATATTTAGTCATCTTATATTACAGTACTCATAATAAATCTTTGCAAAAAGACCACCATGAAAATACTTGCAGCTTCTGTACCAACACAGGTTGCAAAGTATAAAAGAGAAAATTATGTAAAGAAGCTGATATACTTTGATACATGGTAAGTTCATTGCAAAGGCAGAGATAGGTAAGACTGCTGAGGAAAAAAAACATAGGAAAGCATGGATCAGGAAGAAGGAATGAGAAGATTGAATGTGGCTATATATGTGTATATATATAATACATATATATATATAATTCACAGAAGCTTCATGCTTTTACATCTTGAATATCTCTTCATGAAAATAATTGATAAGCACTGGACAGAGCAAGCACCAAATGATATAAAAATGAAATTAATTATATTTTAACTGACAGAAAAAGATTCATTATTCACATGGGAGTTATCCCTGAATTAGCTATGCACAGTCAAACCACAAACTACTCAGAACAAAGATTAGAATTAGCAAAATAATAATAGCATATGAATAAGAAAAAAGATATGGTAAATGATTGAAACAACTCAATTTTGATCTATTAGAACAAATAATTGGTAATGAAAAGGGTACGTCAGAGCAAAAATAACCTTATTGCTGATAATCATGTCAATGATAAATAAAATATGTAACACATCATATATATATATATATATATATATATATGTGTGTGTGTGTGTGTGTGTGTGTGTGTGACCTTTATGCTATATATATCACTGATACACACACACACACACACACACACACACACATATATAAAAGAAAAGTTTAACTGGTGTAAATCAATTGCCATAACAAAAAGATCACCATAAGTATTTTAGTCAGCAAACACTTGATTTATGTCCCAACAGAGAAAGATATCAAAGAAACCAAAACAATATTGATTTTGAGAATATATTTATCTGAAAATATTATGAAGAAGGTGATGGATGATTATTAATATTTTACTTTAGATTGGAAGGAAACAATGGAGGGTAAAACCAGTTTAAGGCAAAACTTGACAAGAGACCTAATTAAGCAAAGTCAGCCCAAGTACATTCCAGGATGAATACAGAAGGAGGAAAACAAACAGAAGAAAAATGGAAAAGATCTGAAAAAATGTTTAAAACAAACTGTTCCCTATTAAGAACAGTAACATCAGGGCAGCTAGGTGTCACAATGGATAGAGCACTGGCCCTGAAGTCAGGAGGACCTGAGTTCAAATCTGGCCTCAGACCAAACATTTGACACTTACTAGCTGTGTGACTCTGGGCAAATCACTTAACTCCAACTGCCGAGAAAAAAAAAAAGAATGGTAACATCACTGAACTTTGACTCTGACATGGAAGTTCTGAATGGACTTAAGTAAAAAATAGAAGTGGAACTAAAAAGAACTGAGATAGGACAGCAGTCTGATTGGACCAAGTCTATATAAAAGAGAGTCCTGCTAGAGGTGATGTAAGTAAGGGCATTGAATGATCAATATACAAGGCATATGAAGGATGCAAAGCTATCAGGGCATGAAAAAAAAATCTTAGCAATGAAAGAAAAAAGTACCTACCATGTGCCAGGCACTGTGCTAAGTGCTTTACAAATGTTATCTCATTTCATACTCGCAACAACCCTGGGAGGTAGATGCTATTATTATCCCCCTTTTATAACCAACAAAACTGAAGTAGGCAGCAATTAAGTCTGAAGCCAGATTTTACCTCAGGTCCTCCTGACTCTAGGTCCAGCACTCTGTCCATTGCACCATTAACTACTAATCTATATGCCTATCTTTCCATTTATACAGAGTAATAGTAGGAAAAAGGTAGCTTTTCACAAGTAATATTTTTATAGCTAACTTCATCTTTACAATTTTGTAAAAATACAAGAGACAACTTGTACTTTTGATTGTGAAAAAGCATTTAAGTATAGCAAAATAACTACTTAAATTTTCTCTTCCAATAAGGTGTTTCCCAGTCATTCAGCGAGATTATTTCAAGATTCCTAGAAAGATGTAACAACAGATTTATTTAGTGACTCATTGATCATAAAATATTATGTGAGGCATAGGACAGGAAGATGTATGCTTGCCAGAGGCATTTCATCAGTATGATGGAGGAAATCCAGGGAAAGTAGAAGAAGGATTTCCTGTGGATGGTAAAGTTTGTGGATAACATTTTGATAATTGCATCAAACCTCATGACACTGTAGAGCCCTTATGGATTGACCCCCATAACCACTCAAAAGAATTGTCCTGACTATCCTCAGAGGAAATAAAAAATAGAGAAAGAATGTTTTATTGTCCAGATTATAACATTCATAGAAGCTTATCTCTCAGTATGTATATCTGGGATAGACAGTACAAATAGACAATGAGTTGGGCCCAGAGTTAAAAGGAGAAGGAATGCGTACTGAATCGCCTTCAGGAAATTGCAAAGTTCCTTTAATGCTTCCCAACTTCTCTGGGAAGCAAAAACCTATATTTTAAATACTGATGTTCTTCCCTTGTTGTTTTATGAATACAAGACGTGGAATTCCATAGTCTCTGAAGTACTGAAAATAATTATCACAGGGAGGGCAATGGAGAGGTATATGATAGAAATAGACAGTTTGCACTTGTAACAAATGAAGAACTCATAAGAACAGAAATAAAATATTCCATTAGGGAAACATATGATAGGAAAAGAAAATGGGCTGGTTACTTGGTGAAAGTCAAGGGATGATAGGTAGACAGACTTAGTGCTCTCCTGGTATCCTCATAATGTCAGGAGAAATTGAGGAAGACATCTAGTGAAACAACCTATGATTAACTTACAGGAGAGCGTGGGGAAGAGCCAGACAGGATGGAGAGGTATAGATGGGCTGAAATCTGTATGAGTAGTGGGAAACTCAAAATCAATGAGGTCATAATAGATTCATTGGGATACAACAGCAAAAATTAAGTAGGTCCTACCTTCAACATATTTTTCTGGCAGAAACAGTATGTGCAAAGATATGTACATAGAAAATAAATGCATAGTTTTCTTGGTTGTGGTTGTTTTTTGGGAAGGTGGGAGATGGGAAGAGGAAGAATCAGGAAAGGCCCATTGAAGAAGGGAACATGACTCAGAAACAAAGAGTTTTAAGAAACAAAAATGAGGAGAAAGATCATTCTAGGCATTGAGGACAGCCTACAAGAAGTCATAGAAATGGGAGTTAGATTGTCTTGTACAAACATAAGTAGGCTAATTTGGATAGAACAGAGAGTTCATGATGGGGAGACGTGTACAATCAGCCTAGAAAGAAAGGTTAGAGCCAGAACATAGAGAGCTTTAAAAACAAGCTCTTTGTTTTTTTTAAAAGACAAACTGTGTATAAGAGTATGTATTTTATTCTAGAGGCAACAGGAAGCCACTGAAGCTTTTTAAAAATTACTTTTATTGTTTTCAGTGAACAAAAATCTTTTTTCTCTATCTTCTACCTCCTCCTCTCATTAAAAAAGGCAAACCCTTCCCCCAAAACTCTTGTAGACAAATTCCTACACTGGCCACTTACAAAAGATGTATGTCTCATTGGACATCCTAACTCCATCACCTCTCTGTCAGGAGGAGGAGAAAACTCACTGAAGCGCCTTATCAGGTAAATGGCATGGACAGATCTATACTTTAGTTCTCTCAATTTGGCAGTTGTGTGGAGGATGGCCTGGAGAGGGGAAATGATAAAAGAAGAGAGCTCAATTACAAGCCTATGGAAATAGTCCAAGTTGGAGGAGATGAGAGTCTGAATAGGGTGGTGGCCATGTGTGTGAAGAGAAAGAGATGGAATGAGAGATGTGATGGAGATACAAATCACATGACTTTTCAATTGGTTGAATATGGGAGATGAATGAAAGCAAAGATAATAACAGCCAAAATGTATATAGTGCTTCAAGGTTTGCAAAGTGCTTTATGTATTATTTGATCTTCACAACAAACAGGTGAGGGAAATTCTATTATAATCCAGATGAGGAAACTGATTCTGAAGATGGTTACATGACTTACTTGGGATCACACTGCCAGTAAGTGTCTGGGACAGAATTTAAATGTGTCTTTTTTTATTCTAAGCCTGGCACTCTAGGATAGCTAGGAGATTGTAAATTTGGGTGACTGGAAGAATGGTAGTTCCCCAAACAGACGGAAGAAACTTAGAAGGAGGAGTAGGTTTAGGAGGAGAGATAAATGATTCCATTTTGGACAAGATAACACATATCGTCTCCATGGGAGAAGGTGCAAGAAGTGTTTGGGAAAGAAGCCAAATGAAATTGCTTTGGGAGATAGATCTCACTCACTCAATGGTACAAAACTAGATGAACTCTTCTGTGTAACAGGCTATATTACCTTCTGCCCATCTACAGTTCCAGTTGGAGTCATCTAAATTCTAAGCCCATCAGCAGAGACTTTGTCTTCCTTGTAATCTGAACTCACATAATGTTGATATTCCACAGATGTTGTTTAACAACGACTACATAAGCCATTCAAGCCTTCCATCTTCCAGAGTTGACTTCAGGCAGCTAAACAGATGTGAAACTTCCCCTCCTTCATCCTAGCAACAGCTGCACTGTGTAGCCTACCCAGGACCCATGGGGAAAGAATAAGGTTATATGACAAAGGGTCAATAATTAATGTGGAATTTTATTTTTCATAGGCTTTCTTTATCTATATTATTCTTGGTCACCTCAGAGAATTTTTTTAGCACCTAGTAGGGAGGACAGACTTTAAGAATTTGACAGAATCTCTATGAAGGATCTATGGGCATATTAACAAGTATTCATTAAGCCCCTACTATGTGCCAGGTGCTGTGTGAGGTACTGGGG